TCGAGCAATCCTCAGTCAAAGACTGGCTTTTACAATTTTGGACGGGAATAATTGAATTGCGGATTCCCTTTATTTAAGTGCGCGCTCATGTGACACCATGTATCGCGTGCGAGAAAGCAAGAGTAATTTAGAGCTCTTTTACCGGTTGTTTGAAAGGAGTTTGAAACTATTACTCCGTATACTGAAGTGACTTAACGCCTTTAAGATGCTGAGGTGGTTTTCGTTTCTTCTTAGGGTTGCTTGATCCTTAAGCTTTACCACGAAATATACAGCCCTTCGTGATTTATATTCTAACAATCATATTGGGTGGGAATGTCACCCTTGGTCCACCAGATGTTTTCTAGCGGTAGACAACTAGGGAGAATATTTTAAGCAAAAAATTATTTTCAGAAAGAGTGAATTTTATCCTTCCAGGGCCATGCAAAGTTGAATACAACCCGATCCCCGATCAGTTGGTAGTGTAACTGCAACTTAATCAGTATTTAACAAACCTAAAGCTACGTTACTGACCAACGTTAAGGCAGCGACGAACGCAACGACAGACAGGGAGCAGTTTAAAAGATTACATGCCACACCAGACCACTAGACTTCCCAGGCGGGGTTACTCAAATGTACAATGATGTGATGGAGGGTGCCAAGATTATATTTGAAATCTGAGGACTTCTAGGGGTTACAAACTGATTTTGTGACGTCTTTTTTTAGGATTTGGGGGAGGGAAATTTTGGCAAAGGCTTTTTTTTTTTGGACTGGGCTCCCTCGTTTCTTTGACAAACATGTGTCCAATTTCTTTCGCGATCCCTTGATTTTTTGCTCCCCATTTCCGGCAAAGAATTACTCCAGTCTTTTTTAAGGTTGTGACAGACACGTCAGTGATGAATAACGAAAGCTCAGGTGGATGCAAAACCTGCCTGGAACTCTGTTACTCACTTCAAGTTTATAAATTGTTTTTATGTAGCGAAAAAGGTTATTTTTGGTATGTTCCGGGCCACTAGACTTTTTGGGTCTGGTTTTAGCTGATAGGTCCTTGCTTGAATATTAATTTGGCCCCATTCGCACCTCTCCGTCAGCGGTCGCTACTGATGTAGAACTCTCCAATCCCTTCCAATGGCATCTTTTTATTTCCCAACATTGTTGAAAAAAGGAATGGTGGTACTGGTGACTTAAGACGATCATAACTTGCAGTTTTTGCATGTTTCCAACTAAATTTGTCAAGAGATGTACTGTAGCTACCATGAGCAGAACGAGGCTTACAAAATTGTACACATAATTAAATATGGTGTCAACGGAAATCTTGTCAGACTCTTATTCAATTCACAATTTGCATCGTTAAGAACATCATTTGGACTTCATTTATATCATTACTGATCCAATATCATAAAAAAGAAAGAGGAGTTTGTTTACCTCTGGCTATAATGAATTGCCACCACGGTCAAATTTCCAGCTTGCTTCAACGGCAATCAGATTGAAGTTATCGTTTTTCATCTTCACTCGGGAAAAGTTCAGAAGTTGTCCAGTAAGCTTTAAAGTTGAAGAAAAAATGCTTGAGTCTTTGCTACCATGAGCTTACCCTGGGTGAAAGAACTCCCTTGGAGCTAAAGAATCTTTAGAATTTCTTGTTGTAAAGTTCGTAAATCAGACCAAAACGTGGACGACAGCAGCCAGAATTACTATTCACATTTTGCCAAAAAAAAAAACGTGCCAATTGGTGGAGTAGAATTAGCATAGTTCATGATGAAACAATGAACAATGGCCCCTGGGAATGTCGCATTACAAGTTTAACACAATTTGAAAACTGTAAGCAAAAACAACAAGTAAAATTGTTTCTCTTTTGGAATAAAAATAAACTGATAATTCAACAATAAACTGATAATTTAACAACAAATTCAATATTTTTGTTCTCATGAAAGTGAAATGTTCCGCATGTCGCGAGTGTGGGACAAAGGAAAAATTTGAGCCCCCCCCCCCCCCCAGGGATATCTATAAGTTTTGTTTAGCCGTAGCTTTTAATTTTTTAAATTACTCCTCTTTTTGTGCGTTGGGAGGGTTTCTGCTTTAAGGTACAGTAAAATTAACATTTTTTAAAGGAAAAGTGTTGTTCTTCGAATTTCAAAGGACAAAGTCGAAGGTTTATTCTCTGAATCCCTAGGACGATTCCTCCCATCGAGCTCCCTTACGGACGCTTTCCCAGACCTTTTACTCTTTTATCAGCTATCTGTCCTGTGGTGAAAAGTGATGATGTCACAAGTTGCACAAGGACCATGGAGCTTCAGAGGGCTTTTCTGCGCGTTTGGGTGGTGATAAATATACACTTTGATCAAATTAAAATTCGATAACACAAAATGGCGTCAAAGACATCACTTTTCAGTTATAACAACTTCCAAGTGCTAAAATAGGGTCAATGAAAAATGCAGCTTTCTTTACGTAGTACAGCCTATTACATTTATAAGGACGCCCCTGTCCGCACCCCTCGCTCCTGAGAAACGTATTGTGTGTATGGTTCAAACAAATATCTTCAGGAATATTAAAGCACTTGTTTCCCTCACAAAAACATGGAAACTTTGGGTTGGTTGAACGGAGAGGCAATACAAAATAGAGTATACTCAAGACCCCATTGAGGGCGGGATTAGTGTTAGTGTTCGGTATAATAATCACTTTTCTCCTGTAATCACCAAAAACAACTTTTTTTGGACTTAAGGACGGTGCCTACTAAATACAAAGGTTTTTGCGCCAGGTTAGGTAACTTATAGATACAGATCGTGGGCCAGATCCCACGAAAATCAGTTTTAGACATGGGATCTCTAAGCTGTCTATCTCGGCACCGTTTTTGCAGGAAACATTCAAACACTTACCTGCACACATGCACGCACACAGAAACTGAGAGACCAGCGTCTGGATTCCTTACAGCTGTTGAAAATAATTTCCTTGCAAAAGCGCGAGAGCGTGCGCGTCAGTGCCGAAAGGGCATCATGTCACTATTATGAGGATAGAGGCGGAAATAGTGAATTCTGATCATACAGTTTTTGCGATTTCTTCCTTCATCGCGATGAGACACTGAATTTCGATCAAGCAACGATGCCCATACCCATACGTTTAGGCATAGTCGTGCACGCTACACTGAAATAAGAACGTTTCTCCAAACAGCTATATATATATACTCACTATAACCATTCTTGGTGTTGTAACAGAGCTTTTCTCTTTGATAAGATAGAATCTCAGCTTCAATGAAACCCTCAGTAAGAAAACGTTTTTACCAGTGACACAATTTTACGCTTTCTTTGCTTAACGTGTCAACAATTCAGTCGAATTTTCAGTTAAAACACTTCCCCTTTCCAAGCTCTCAGATGTGTGTGGATGGCCGTTTAAAGCTACCAGAAGTCCCGAGGACGCATAATCATTCGTAAAGAATGTTTGCAGTTTCACGCCTTTCTCAAAACTCCTACCGACTTCCCAAGATGTGAGAGTCCGGATATTTCCTTACATGTCGCAATAGCCTGAAAACAAATTTCATGTAAAAAGGGATCAAAAGGTTAAGCTGGGAAAAACATCATGTATCTTAGTACTCGTCTAAGTGTAAACATAACAACACTGGATATTAATGAATAGGAGTACCGGTCACTCAGCTCGTCTTTCAGTTCTAAGCGTTTAGAGTCAAAATTAAGGGTACATTAAAGAAGTCATACTGACGCTTTGGTCACCTACTTGTTCATGAAGATGATCGCAACTTAATCACAATTATTAAGAACTTTAATGAAACCATCAATGCAGCAGCAGCTGCTACTACTTACTACTACTTAGCTTCTTTGTGCCTCGTGGCACATAAGGCCTCCACAGAATGCCTCCAATTTTCTCTGTTGGCTGCAGCAGCTCTTGCCTCATCCCATGTACGCCATCCTGCGCTGTTCCTCTCTCTCTCAACTGTTCTTCGCCTTCAGGTGTCCATGATAGGGCTATGTTGGTATGGCTGTTTCTGTTTTGTCGTAGGACATGCCCTATCATCTTCCATCTTCTCCTCTTAACCTCTTCACTAAGGAACTTCGTCTCTGCCGTCTCAAGGAGCTCTCTAGTGGTAACGTGATCTTGCCATTTTATTTTGAGAATCCTCCTGAGGCATTTGTTTTCAAAAGTAAATGCAAAAACAAGAATAAGAAAAAAAAAGTACTCAGTCTGCACAGTCTGCATGGTCTGCAGTCTGCAGTCTGCATGGTCTGCATTTTGGGGTGACCACTGCGAGCGTGACATGTGAGTGGCCAGCTGTGAGTAGGGCTGACGTCGGAAGGCAAGTGAAAAGAGCTCATTTTGCCTGTCTTCTAACGTCTGCGCTACTTGTGGCTTGCGGCTTTGCATGTCATGTGCGTATGCTCATGACAGCTCACTTGTGTTGCGTTCTTCCCAATGAAATTTTGAGCAAAAGAGAGATTGCCCACAATCTACTGAATCCTTACAGGGACATGTATAACTAATTTAATAGGGCCTCATCAACTGCACTCCAGCGTGGCTTAATCTGGTTCGCTTAAAAAGCACTCCTAGTCTACACAGAACTCAGGTTGACCCTGGGGGTTGACCTAAGTTAACTAGTATAACTAGCACACTGGCTACTAGCCTAAATAGCAATGATTTTGTAATGGTAACACAAAGTATTCCTTAAATGCCCCTCCCTCTAAGCTGGCCCTGCACTGGTTTTGTGGTCTTAGATATGCTAACAACACAATCGACACAGGTTTGACTTAACCTATGCGCTTATTACATCAGATTTTCCGTTTTTGTCTTTGATACAAATATTTTAAACGACCAGGTCCATTCCCACGTGTGTTTTCAGTCACATGTGATTGTGTTTTGTACCAAGAGAAGGTCCCTTAGCTTGGTTGTGGTCAGAAGGCAACCTGGATGCCCAGTTGATGATATTGTTAAGAAACGGAGAGCCTTTAAAATCCAGGAGAAAGTTACAATTATTGACGGGTTAAATACGTTTAACTTGTCGATAGAGGAAGACTGCAGTTTACCTGTTTCACTTCCATTTCTTGCTGTTGACTTGGAGATATTCCAGACTGCATGGTGAACAAATTCCTTGTGATTTACACCCTTAAGCTTCTTCTGTTCTCTCAGCAATTCCAACAGTTACAGGTTACTCACCACGCTAAGAAAGAGTCTCAAAAATTCGCGAAGAAAAACTCGATCTTGCCTCACAGTTTCCACACATGCTGATCCGCCATATTGATTTGAGCGCGATATGGTTGATGGGGAATATGGTTTTTCTCGTTCACAGGCCCCGCCAGTTCAGACATGATCGTCAAGCCAAGGAAGAGTAGGCTTGCGTCAGGGTGAGGGTCCACCCGAGATCCAAATTGCCATCCAGCAGACAAAGTAAGAGAGGGGCCGTCCCCTTTTTAATGCAACCCCTTTTAGCAACTGGAAATATTCAATACCCCCTCCTCTGTGAGCACCTCCAGTCCAGTTGCCTCCAGCACTACCTTTTAACTGTAGCAATGTCCCTGAGTATGACTGGGACATTTGATTTCTTTTCAGCCGAGAGATGGAAAAGGACAATACTTATTTTAGATAACTCAGAGAAGGTTAAGAAATTGTATTTTGTGGTCTGCTTACAACCCATGCCCCAAACCTACTACACTGAGGGGTGAAAACAAACTTTCATTGCCACAACCTAGAACTGAAATTTTAACAAGATTGCTTGCCTACGGGGCAGTAGACTATGGAACCTGTTAGATGACTCATTAATATGCAAGGAGTGTAACAAATTTAAAACATCAGTCAAAACTGTTTTAAATGAAATATCATTTGATTCCAAGCGACAACAACTTTTTCTTTTATTGTTAGCTTTTTAGAGTGTAATATTACACATTGTAAATAGGTTTTGTTGCTTTATTACTTTACTATCTTTGATGTCTTTGATGGAAATAGCATCTTTTCTATAGACACGGCCACATCAGCTGCTCTTACACACCATGTATGACAAAGTCATTTTAACATTAATTAATCTTTGTTAGATCTGTATTCAGTTGAACAGTCTTTATGTATTCATGTTTAGGACATGTATGGTAAAGCCTGTAAGGTCTGACACATAATTTTCTTAATATACATAGTCAAGCCTCCACTAGCAGCTACCTCTCTACAGTGACCTCATATTTCATCCCAACAGACGGTCCATACATCCTCTTATTTTAACCTCTTTACAACAGCTATCTCTTCACAACAGCAATGGCCACTGAAACATGTCTCAACAGCAGAATAACCTCTCGACAATGGCCAGTAAATCAATGACTGTGTCTTTGGTCTTTGTCTTGTTGATATATTTTGATTGTGTTATGTATTTCTATGCCACAATAAGCATTTTTAAAACTAAAATGGTTGCAGCCCCTGAAAAAGCAGGTGTCATATTACACCCCTACCTCGCCATAATGGTCACCTCTCTACAACAGCTACTTTCCTCTGTCCCCAAGGTGGCTATTCTTGAGAGGTTCACTATAACTAACAGTAAAAAAAACATTTACACTGAGTGATTGGGAAAAACAGTCTATATTTTACCTACAATCCCTAAAATTCTACCAGTGCTAAGCCTGTGCAGGCATTCCACGGTATCAAGGTCACAAGAAGTATTGACATTTATTTCAAATTTGGTTGAGGTAAAACTCATCTTTGAATTTCTGATTAATCAAAGATAGTCTTCAAGTATGGTCTTACAAAAATAAAAAAAACCCTGCTAGTACCATGGATCACGTTACAATGCTTCTAACTTTCCTACTCAATAATAAATTATTTCTATCTACATAATACAGATATGTCCTTCAACAATACAAAAGTTATAAAATTGATCTGTATACCATGATCTTTTACTTCACATAGCTCTCTTAAAGTGCCTACTGTTTCAAGGAATAATTGAATTGATTTGCAAACTTTTCCCGACAACGCTTTGTAGCAATTTCATCCATTTGATCTGCAACACGTCGCATTGCTTTTTTATTCAATACAATTTTTCCTAGCCGATTTCTTGCTGTGTTTCTTTCCTTTTTAAGATCTGTCAGACCAGAGCTTTTGAACTCTTTGTTAACACTAGCTTTAGAGTGGCCTTTGCGCTTTCGTTTACTTTTCCCTCCCAAGTCCAAGCCAGTGGCTGCCTCAACCTCAAGCTGAATTTCCTTCCAGTCTGTTGAAGAGGAAGCTTGATTTTGTTCATCACTTGTCACTGTACTTGTGCTGCTTCCTTCTACCGCAACATAATTTAGAGGGGTGCCTATTTCATCCCGTGGCACAATCTTCCCATGAAATGGACATTTTGCTCTATCCCGTCTCGGGCAAAGCTTACCACTTGGCAATGGTGCACGACATGACCATTTTACTGGCTGAAAACTACCAGCAAAAGTCACCATTCTTGTGGGTCTGGCGGCTTTCTCATCTCCTATGAGATATTCTCCTTCATGTTCTTTTGATGCCCAGTTGTTATCAAGATACATCTTCACCATCTTATGCACTTCAGCATTGGGATCTCCCCAGAAATACAGGTCCATATCAAATGGTACAACTGGTGCTTGCTCCAGTAGTTTCTGTCTCTTTTCATCCGTCATTGAATTGGTCTTTTCATTGGGAATGGAAGAACCGTCAGCATTTGACAGCTGGTCTTTCACATGAGAGAGGGCAGTTGCACGAGAAGTGGGGTCTCCCAGTTCTCGAGGGTCAGCGCCAAACTGTTTCAGGAAGCTTTCTTCTTTATTGGGTACTTTGCAACTTGATTCTGTTTAAAGAGAAAAAAATTGATTGTTTAGTACATGTATGTAAATCCAGGCAAAAACCTTTCACTGTGTACGAGAAGGACAACCCAGGGATTTTGCAAAAAGGGCGTATATCACTTTTTGGGCTGATTTTCATTTTTGCAGGATTGAGCAAATTTTTGGCAGACTGACTTGTTTTGACATGAAAAGCATCATTGCATAATAATTATTGTTTTTGTTGATTTGTGCTTCATTTTCGAGAAATAATGTATGCAAAAAACTCAGTTTTTCAAGTGGCATCTTTTGGAGCAAATCCTTTAAAGGTGGATTTCCTCGTGACAGGAACTTAAACGATTACTTCTAGCAGCATCGACAGCATGGTTTTTTTTAAATAGATGTTTTGATTTTTGAAAGAAGTAAAGAAATAGACCGCAAAAAAAAAATTGGCCGACCTCGTATCGAACCAGTGTCACGACAAAAGGAACTTGAATTCGGTCCATTCAGTGCCTTATTCACTTGCACTAACAAAGCAACAGTAAGAGATTAGTGTAATTACATGAATAATAAAACTTGTATCGGTTCGAACAACTAGCGGCAAATGCCATGCTTTGGTGACTTCATCGTTTAGCAAAACAAAAGGTCTCTTTTGTTTTTCGTTCAACAAAAGATCTCTAAAAGATGCCCTTGGAAAACTGAGTTTTTGCATGTTATTTCTCCAAAACGAAGCCCATCAACAAAAACAATTATTATGGAATGATGCTTTTCATGTCAAAACAAGTCAGTCTGCTAAAAATTAGCTTGATCCTGAAAAAATGAAAATTGGCCCAAAAAGTGATATATGCCCTTTTTGCACGAAACTCTTCAATTAAAAGCCTAACAAAACATCAAATATATGAACACAACAAAGATCCAGCCATTTGCTTATTGTGCTTGAAAATGAGAAGTTCTGTATTTGGTACTAAATTTTTCTCAACTTACTAACACAGTTTTGGGATCAGTGGTGTTTCAACTGGATCACTTGCATTCATGTTGAATCTTGCATGTAAACAAAGAAGATTGCTCACAGGCTTAAGAAATGCAACTTTTGGAACAGATGCCTTATGGGTCAAATCTCTGATTATCAGGCTGTACATTGCTGGTGACTGGCCACTATTTTCAACCCTGCCAGTTGCAAGATCCATTTTTTTTTCTGTTTACCTGTGGATGACTGTTGGACTCTTGGCAATGGTTCAAGACCATATTCTTCTTTGTCACTTGGAGGAATGACCAACTGAATCCCTTCTTTCTCTGGCACATCTTCAAAATCTTCAGTGTCATCATCTTCATCACTGCTGCTGTCTGGTTTTCCTTGCATGGAAACACTTTCCACTTTATCAACCAGTGGAGTTATTTTAAGCTCAAGGAATTTACTTTTCGATGCCTCTAAAGTTCTTTTGAGATCAATGAGTTGTTGAATTTTAAGTTGCATTCCTTCACCTTTACTTAACACTGAGAGCCACTTGTTTATCATAGGTAAATGTTTGTGAGTCAATTCTTTGTAAAACTCACGAACTGTCTTCAAGACAATGCTGTTGTCAACAGTTTCTTTAATTTCTGGCCCACTCTTGTCTAACCTGATAGTCAATTGGTATGACCTTGTTGCCAGGCCATGATTTGACAGGAGCTGCTCATTACCTTCATCTTTGACCTTTTCACAATCAACATCAGTCATCTGGCTGTCCATTTTATTCTCAATTACTTGTTTTTCACCAACATCTTCCGAGACTTCTCTTTTATCTTGACTTTTGGTCACATCTTCATGATTGGGCACTTGCTTCAGCTTTGAAGAGGAGCAGGCAGATTTCTCTCCACAGTGCACCTCATAATCATCAGGGTGAGGCAACAACAGCTTGAAACAATTCTCTATCTCAGTTGCACACAATTCCATTTCACTTATCATGTCGGACATTTCATTCTCCACCCGAATTATCTGTCCATTTATGATATTCCTCTTTCTTCTTTCCCTTTCCTCAGATTGGCGTCTTTCAGCTTGAGATCGAGCTGTATGAGAATTAAATTCAACATTTTTCACCCTTTTCAAATAATTGTACCCTAAATCTAGTTTCTTGTAGTGTGGCCCAAATTTACGATGCCAACTGTCAATAGCCTCTATGACTTTTTCTTTGAGAACTTTCGCAGCAGATTTCGGTGGTGGCAGTGGCTGTTTATAATCAGTTTCCACTGTAAGCTCCAAGAAGATCTGAAAGTCGACTAGCAACATTTCTCTGAAGGTATGGGAACGAAGGAAGAGTTCATTGATGATCTGGAATGAAGAAAGCCTTATTTCTGCGTGATTCTTCTTGAGCTGTGTCAGAACCAAGTGGTATACATGTTTGACGTACACATCTGATTTCTTACACACGGCCTTAAGTTTCTTCATAAGATCATTATTTAACGATGGATCACCGGAAGTAGTCAGGTTACCAACAATTTCGCCTAGTTGTTCAAGAAGCGATAGATCGGCAGCCGACTCCATCTTCGATCTTGAAGAGTGTTTACATTCAGCTGATGTCAGCAGTTTTAAGTTAGTGACCAAACTTGGTGACCACTCCTTCCTGTGCTGACCGCTGTGCTAGGAATTTCTTACTGCAGGCACAGAGGTTTCAAAAGTTTAAAAATGGCGGGGATTTGTGGTTTGTTTTCTCCTGGTGAAAACAAATATTTTGCGAGTTTTAGTGAATGAAAACCACGAGAAAATGGATATTTTTCCCTGGTGTGTTTAACGCTTTAAAGAGGCATTGGATGAAACAATTGGATGTGAACTGCAAGAAAGAGGCAGACTCAAGAGAAGAAGAAGATCATTTCAATTCGTTTGTGTCAGACTTCGTGAACATGAAGCATTCGAAACAAATACTTTCAATAACTAGTGCTGCCGTCGATGCGCTATCTTGTGCAAGAGAAGTCCAGAAGGATAAGAGAGCTGAATTTAGAGAAGGACTAGAACAAGCAATGCCGTCAGTTCCAAGAACACGAAAGGATGTCACGCAGCCAGTTTCATCACGCCACCAAAATCCTCTTTCGCCCTTGAATCAATCGTTGTCTTCTCCCACTGCAGATGACCGACTTTCTGACCAAGTAAAGAGAGAAGTGAAAGATGAATCATCTTCATCCCTTTTGGAACTTCCTTTCAATGGTACTCAGAGAGTAAGAGTACCTTCAAGACTGCTTCGTGAAATCAAGTCACCCCTGGAAAGGAGTTCTTCCTCAAGTGATTCCAACGAAGCCCCTGGAGTAATTAGGATAGGTAAGGTTAACCCTGAAAAAAGATTAATACCTGGATGTGGGTGGGTGGTACTACTTGAAATGTTCCGGCAAGTGACGGACAGAATCCACCAGCCAAGGGATAGTTGACCGGACTTTCTTAATGCACACTGACTTGCTGCCTGTTTTGACAGTTGGTGTCCAGGGTGCTTAATTAAAAAAAACCCAGCAAAATATGATAATTAAAATTTCCAAAAGCAGTACTGCAAAAAGCACAATCGAAGGTGAGAAAGTCAATGGTGGTCTTAAGATGATCGATTTTGGCATAATGGAAATTGCCCTTAAAATCTCATGGATTCAAAGGATTCAACAAAACTCTGATGCAGGCTGGAAAGCTATGCCAGAACGCCTGCTTGGCGACCTTGGTAGCCTTGCCTTTTTATCTCACTGCCATTATGATATAAATTTAATTCAGTTACACAACCTACCTCCTTTTTATCATTCTGTGCTGAAATACTGGCAAGACTTCACAGATTCAGAATGAAATAATTTGGAATGACAGTGACATATCAATAAACAGGAACATAATTTTCTTCAAACAGTGGTACCAAACTGGAATCATACACTTGCAAGACCTGCTTGATGTTGACTGCACCTTTCTATCCCTCCAAAACTTCCAACAAAAATTGCGGCTACATGTTCCCTTTACCACATATTATGGACTGATAAATTCTATCCCTGCTAGTCGGAGACGAAAACTCAAATTCACAGATTCCCCCAACCTTAATCAGATCAGTTTGTTAGATTCCCCAAACATGAAATAATTTCACTACTCGTTCTGCTTATGTGATCATCCTTGATCATTTCTTTCAACCACCCACATCTGAAACTAAAATCTTATGTTATGGCTTTTCTAAAGAAAGCTTGACAAATGTCTATGTGATGCCTTTCCTCATAATGCAGGAGGTTAAATTACAAAATAAATGTTCCAGCTCAAAATCATACACAACATACTCCCAACAAGACGTTCCTTGTTTCGAGCATGGTTATCTGATTCCGATAGTTGTCGGGCATGTCAGACCGAACCTGAAACCCTTCCACACATGCTCTTTCAATGTAATATAATCTCTGCGTTTTGGATTGCTTTTCAACAGTGGTGGTGTGAAAGAACCCTACGAGTTTTCGAACTAAATGAGTGCAATGTAATTTATGGTTGGTACAATGATACTCAGTTCAAAGACGTTTTAAATTATGTCACACTCGTTGCCAAATACTTAATCTTTTGCTGTTTTCAAGACAATACCGCTGTAACTTTTGACAGATTCCCCCCTTTCTTAAATAATAAGATTGATACCCTTAGGCAAATTGCTCTTGAAAACAAACAGCTGGAAGAGTTTAATAAGAAGTGGAAGAATTTCACCTAACCCGTTTTCTGTTTTGTTTTACTTGTTTCCGTTTGACGTCTACACTTTCATGTTGAATTTATATTTCTCTCATTCTCTTTTTCTTGTAATCGATACAATGTAAATTCAACACATATTATCCACGTAATTGTAACACACTTTTGTATCTTAGCTTTACACTTTGCTATTATATTGCTTTGCTGTATGTATAGGTGTGATCCTTTTTTTTTTCTTGTAAAACTGTTGTAACTATTTTGTGTGTTAATAAAGCATTTAAAAAAAAACAACAAAAAACAATATTGACAGTAGCTTGAAAAATGGCTGTTAAATTTTGTTGACAACAGCCACCAGAGATAAACCAGGACGATTTTACAAAATCGTTCATTTGAATTGGTTACTACAGTGATTGTAATCAATGTTATGATTGGTGGATTTAGCTGAGAGGATTTAAAATGATTGGCTTGTGTGACTGTCCAATTACAGAGGTTGGATTACAGCTAAATGTCCAATTGCAACTTTGCAGATTAGTAAATATATAGGGCAAAATACAGCAGTTCATCCACCAATCACATTTGAGGAAATTGGAATTGTTATGATAAATGAAAGGATGATCTGAAAGTGGATTTACCTTGACAGCCTTTGAATGAGAAAGTAATGAAGAATGGATCAATAATATTGGTTTCTGAATAGAGGGGAAGTCACCATCCAAGGGGTACTGGGTATTGCTTTTGTTAGATCCTGATTTAGGGTAATGGATGTCCTGTCAAGAAGTGATGAAGAGGCAATCAAGGTGATTCCTCACATTTGGATTGCGCATCCTTACTGCGCGTAATTTATGGTGTCACCAGTGTGTGCTCGTGCATGCGCACATTGAAAACATGGTGGATTTGCCTTGATATTGAGTTCTGTCAATTGAAAAATGGCTACAGCTCACTAACGAGCTCAGGCACCCCAATATTTTTCCAGTCGTTTTAATCAACTAATCATTAGCTTTGCGTGAAAAAAGACTGATCTGATTTCTATGGCTGAAAATTGAAGAAATAAGGAAAATAGCAGCTGCGCTGTAGTCTTTTCTATTTTGCAGTTTGATAGCTGTGGCAAGCAATTTGGTTCCAATATTTTAACAAGGATTCAGCTGTCTGTCAAAATCAAACTTAAAAAGTTTACTTGTGTCTGACGCAAGTATTGACTGTAGTTTGAGGTGCGTTTTCATGAGTCTGGGCTCACAAAGATTTTACAATAACTTGGAATGTGTTCTTGTAATAAACATTAAATAGTGCCAAAATAGGACATTTTCAATGCCTCACTGCTCCTTAATGAGCATGGGCACCTTCCCTTTTTATTTTATAATTAAAGTTCTCATAATTATGATAAATATTTAGTGGACAAAGTTTGAACTAAAATCTATGGACAGTTTTATTTCAGGGGAATTACCTTAATTAGCATTGCTTGTTTTATTACAAACTTTCAGGTATACTGTGATTCAACAATCTCACTGAACATGGTAAAGATAGGGGTGAGGTGACCAGAAAGAGACAAGTGGGGTGTTACCTAAAATGATACAGAGATCAGTTTTGATTTAAATATTGTTTTGGGACCAATCAACCTTGATTGCCAAACTAGTTTCTTATAACCCATTAAGAGTTCTGAGTGGAGACGGGACCAGTGAGAGTTTCAATTCTCATCATGATTACCCTTGCTAGTACTTGAACCCAGATCATTTTTTATTGTTTTGATCTGTTACATTTGGTACAATTACTTGATGCTTGTTTTCATCCAGTTGATGAGCAAATGAGACCCACTCCAGTGAAAGTAATCAGGCATGTTAATGGTCCATCAGCATGGATGTTATCTCAGGCAGACGATCTAGTCCATAATGTTAAGCCTCCAGATCCTGTGAAGACTGTGGGAGAGCCTTCTGTAGGTGACACAGCAAGTGGAATGACATTACAAAGAACTGAAAAAAGTAGCTTAACTGGAAAACAAGTAACTGAAGACATAGGGTGGCATCTTGAAGATGATGCTCATGAAACAGAGCTTTATGAAAGAACTAAGGTACTTAGTTAGCTTTAGTTTGGTGGTTGTGTCTCTTACTGAGAAATGTACTTTTCATTTGTTTCAATTAAAACACAGCTGACCTGCTCTATGGTGACTATCCTTGGCACAAAATAAATTAGGTGATTAAATCGGATTCCTTGGACATCACCCAATAATTGCGAAAGTACATGGAATTGAATATTGTGCTGTACATCATTAAGGATTTGTCATCGGATGATACCCTAAAAAATTCTATTGCCAATTAAAGAGTACAGTGAGCTCAGTTTTTTACCACACTTTTGCAATATTCATAACATGATTACCAAGCTAAGTTTTAGAAAAATTCAATTACTTTTTCTTTTTTGATTAACAATGTCTGAACCAAAATATTCCCTCCATGTTGTGTAATGAAACGTTTCATTGCTGTCATGATACATTGCACTAAATTTTTGGAAAATGGGCTGTTTTTATTTCATTAAAGAATGCGCCTATCAAGGGCTTGTACCAGGGACAGCCAAAGTATGGAGTCCCAGTTTTCAACCCAACAGGAGAAAACGGTGGTAGGCATGAATATTTAATGTGAAGTATGAATTGTAAAGTTGTTGGAATTATTGTGTGTGTAGAGTGTTAGAAAGCCATTTAATTCCCTCTCTCATAGGTAGAGTTTCAAAATTAATACATGTATAACTACTGTAAACACAATAGCCCTGAGAACCTTTTGGTTCTTGGTTATTGTTACTTCCAAGTGATTTGTCTTTTTTTTTTACGATTGTTAGTTTGTAAGTTTTGTGTTCTTGTTTTATGGCTGAGTTTAAGGGTTGAGTTATCATTTTTAACTTGGAAAATAGTATTTTCCAAGTTGTAGGTATGAAGGGGCCTGTAGGTTTGAATACATTATTTTGTGGTGTTAGTTTAACTTTCAATTTGAAAAAAAAAAGATTTATCTCATATTAAGATTTTAATATGAGATAATTGTAACCAATTGTCATAACTTACTTACTTAGGCCCATTGCTCCAGGTGGAGCATAGGCCATCAACAACCCCTCACCAGTGAACTCGAACTTGGGTTTTTTGTTCAGCTTCTTTCCAGTTGTATCCTATCAACTTCAGTTCCGCATCAGTGTCCCATCTCCAGCTGTTTCTGGGGCATCCCCTGTTTCTTGCTGGGAACCAGTTGTTACTGGTTACAAGTAAATAATTGCTGTTTGTAGCTGTTATACACTGAGTTGCAAAGAGCTATTTTGTACTCATAATAAGATGGATTTTTTCCGTAGGTGATGTTAAAGTAAAACGTTTTGTTCTGAATGACAAAGAAAGGGCTTTAAAAGAACAGTTTTTGAAAAGGTACAAATTTGATACCACAGAGTCATCAAGAGTTGTTATACTCTAAATAAACTACCTGCCTATTATATTTACCGTTCCCAAATTCACAATTAGCCAAAGAGAAGCCGTGTCTACTGTATTGATATCCCGGGATATCAAGCCCCTGACCTGACATGGCTACAATATCACCCTCACTGGGCTAAATTTGGGCATGGTAAATGCCTAATCGTACCTTTTTGGTACACTTCAGGGGCACATCAGGCTCATTTGGTCTTGCAATGGGTATTATCAATCAAATACATCTTGCCAAAATGTGAACCATGGCTTGAACAAATTTGCCTAATATGCTGCTGAAGTGTACCAAAAAGGTACGATTAGGTATAAATTAAAAACTTAATGAGGATATGATATTTATTTATTGAGTATACTTCAATCAAAACTGTGGTGATTATACCTTGAACAGTCTGTTAAAGCTTCTGCCACATGGATGATTGTCTTTACATGACAAGCCCTGACCAGAATAAAATTGCATGTAAATTTTATTTACAGGACGAACACTTACACTACTTACAGTACTAATGTTATATTTACATTTACACTTACACTGTACTTGCTACTTACACTACTTATACTTACACTATTTATACATGCACTAGTTACAATACATATATTACATTGTGTTCTTTGGCAAGACAAATGGGTACAGATGAACTTAATGTTGGGGGTAACCCTGTGATGGACCAGCATCTCATCCAGGGGGAGTAGAAATACAGTACTCCTAGTTGCTTCATGCTACAGAAACTTGGATAAGCTTTCGCCTGATGGGCCACTTGCTTTGTATGCAGACTTAACCTACCTTTACCTTTATGTGAAAAGAGGCAGACCTGTCAAAAAAAATTCACTCCCTGAATGGCTGACTTGTAAAAGTTTATTAAAGTTAGATTAAGTGGCTATGGTAAGGCATGTCATGTTATGAAAACCATTTCTGTCAGCAGAGCATTCCTGCTTATGTAAGGTCTAATTTTGAACAGCCAGGAAGGAACAATGTTACCACAAATACAACAGATTAGACATATATTGATTGATGATTCTGGGGCAAGATTTGTAACTCTTGCAGTGTTTCTCTTTGCCCTGGTTTGTTTAATGGGTACCTGAGAAATTTGTTGGATAAATGTGGATAAATTTATTGGGTGGTAATCTGTTGATGATGTAACATCTCATCCAGAGAAGAGAAGAAACATGCCAACGCCATAATTTGCTGTAAGCTGGGACTGAGCATTGGCTATGTTATCCCTGCCGTCATGAGATCCCTTTGAGTGTTATATAGACAATAACCTCCAATGGCGCAAAAATATGCATGATTGGATATTTGTCCACGGACAATATCTGTTCCAAGAAGCAAACAGTTTTCCAAGAGCATAGCTCAAAGAAAACTGTGAGCTTTGAGGAACAGATAATGTCCAAGGACAAAACTTAATATCCGAGTGTACTTTTTACAGTCCAATGGGGGCTATTGTATTTATCATCCTTCAATTATTTTTCCCAACATGCGCAGTTTTGAAAACTGGGGAATATCACTCGGATGCGTTTAGACCAATGGTGCACAATCACAAATATTTGATGGATTACAAAAATTGGATATTCCCCAGTTTTAGTTGGGGCATATTCAGTCACGTGATGCATTTAGAGCAATTGCACACAAGCAAAAATATTTGTCATGATGGATTATAAGTAATGTTATAGTGGAAATTTTGATTAGAGCGGTTTTTATTCGAGTGTCGAAAGTAATTAGACAATTACTTTGGTTTTGGTTTTGTTTTACTACGGTTTGAGATTGGCTGAGTAGTCTAATTGGTAAGTAATTGGTTTGATTTTGGTTTTACGACACTCACTTGAAAACCGCTCTATTGTTCAATTATTACTATTCCACTTAAATTTCAAGAGATTGTTTAAATAATAAGAATAAGAGAAAATAGACATGAGTGTTTTGTACATTTCACCAATAGACAAGATCAAAAAAGGCCAATAAAAAAACTGGTTCAGCCAACAGTAGTTTCTCCTACGGCTGAGGAAGAAAGAAAAATGCCAGGTGGAATAGATAGTGACAATCCTGTAGCCACCGCAGCAGCCATTGCTGCTGCAGCCGCATCAGCAGCAACTGGACCTTTCCTTCAGGTAAAAGGTCACAGTTCATAAAATTCTCGTATAATTTTTCAATTAATAGTTGTAATAAAGACAGTGAACCAATAACCAAGTAGGGAATCAGGTGTTGTAATAGTCTAGATCTCCATTCTTCTCAAATTAGTTCGTTAATACTCCATCAAGTAACCACTCAAAGGAAATCATAACCGTGACAATGTTTGAATTTCTGATCTTAGGAAGCACATATTTTTGACAAATTTCCCTGTTTCACCTTAGTTTTAGTTTTGATTGGGAAGATATAACAAACAATCAAGACAGTGCTTTACCACTTTACCAAACCCTACAGGGTTTGTCAAAAATACTCTACTGTCTATCAAGTTACAGTCTCATCTTTTTAATGGATTTCTCTTCTTTTTGTAACTATTATTGTACATTTAATTTGTTTGACTGTATGATCATCTCATTTTGGGTTTTACTTGTTGTGGGTTAAAAATACAATGTTAAACTTTTTAGTGCACATTGTTGTGACCTGAATAAATTTGTACAATAATTGTTTCTAGTTTCAATTTCCAAATAATTTTGACGAGGAGTTTAATGTTTTATTTGTATATTGAAAATCTCAAAGTCAAGTTGTAGTGCAGTGAGTTGATAAAACTAATATCTGATATTTTTTGCAGCTGCAGCATTCCTTGGAGGCTCAGATTGCTGCCCTTGTCAGTAATCTGCAAGCTCTTCAACAGAATCATGACAGGCAACAGAAGATGCAGGACCAGGAGAAGGAGAGTAAACTACAACAACAGATTGAAGAAAGGTTGAAGAGGTTGGAAGATCTACAAACCAAGATGCTGGAAGCACAAGTATGTAAATTCATGTTGAGCTTGCCATTAAGAAGAGCTAGAAGATTAAAATGAGTTTAGATGGATGGGGTAGGGGGTTGACTGTAAGGTGTCTGTTGAGGTCTTGTTCAGTATTTTACCTTTTGGTAGCAGCAATATATTGTCTGAACAAGCTGCAACATGTCAGTTGTCTGGGGGGAAGTTGTCAGTCCCAGTTTATCAGTTTGTATGAGCCAGACTGATATCAGTACTGTCTACACAAGACTGAGACTCAAAATGCTTGAGTGACTCAGTACGTGAGACTTGCTGATGTGAAGGGGCACATGACAACTGAGTACTAGTTATTCCCAGAAAATAACTATTTAAGAGACTACATGAGAATTTTATGTCATCACTTTTGTGCACACATTTATGTCTGAGTATCGCTGTGATTACATACAAAACTTACCTCACTGAGTCTCCCTGAGTCATCCACTGAGGCTTAGCTCCTAGAATGAGCTGAGTTGATTTTTTGTGCTAGTGTGCTGTAAATGGGGCCAGCCCTATTTAGACCCTAAATGCCCTTGGCTGTGTTCTAATGGTGGCCATTCTTGGACTTTGTTTTGTTGAGTACAACAATACCACCTGCCTTTTGGGGGGGGGGGGAAGGGGTATTGAATGAAGTTTACAACAGCTGAAGTAAAACAAAATACACCCTTTATTTACTCTGGAGAATGTGTGCTGTTCTCTTCTAATAACAAGTTTTATTGTTTGTCCATTCAGTCGGCACCAGTCTCATTTCCCACTGGTTCCCACCAACCTTCGATAATGACACATCCAACCAACAGAGTGGATCCTGCTGGCATGCTGCCACACGGTGACATGAAAGGTGCTGCCTACCATCCTGTGCCTGCAGTGTCTTCTCACAATAACGCACCAGGGACAGTGTTGCGGGATGATTTAACTCAAGCAAAGTATACTGTACCTGGACACTATCAACCCCACACCACTCATGAAAGTCCACATGATCACAAAGATCTATTCTCTCATCCAGGAAGCATACCGGTCTTTGGTAAGTTAAGCATTTCTACTCAAGTTTCTTGGTGTTTTTAGTCTTGAAATTGATTTCTCTCCTTCTAATAATCACCCTGTTTCAGTGGTTGTATACTGCTGGTTCAAATACATCATGGCAGCTTTGTTTCGATTTTGTTTGTATTGTTTTTGATTTATTACAGAAAAACACAAAATGGTCAGAAACACTAGAACTCAAACTTCTCCTCAAGAATCTATTTCTTCAGAAGAGTCTCCGCTCCAGACTCCTCTCCCTCGCAAACGACCGCCCATTCCTATGTCCCGTTACGACTTGCCAAGGTCTCGTGCTAGGGGGCCTCGTTCTGATGCTGACCGGAGGGCGGAGAAGAAAGCCCGGGTACGATTTGAATCAGATATTGGTCCCAGATTGCCGTCTTACATGAAGGAAATGACACACAAAGGTAACCTAGTTTCCTTAAACTGGACGCGATTAATAGCATGAAAAATGCGAAAAGCAAAATTCTAACCTAAAAGGGCAAGGTTCGGAAGTTTTCGGAAAAATGTTGTTGCCTCACATTTTAGCCACGTCACTTTGATAAAGTATTAATTAAAATAAATATTGTTTGATAGAACTGCTCTGTTTTATTTTAGAAATTAACGTTATAAAGGATTAAAAAAAGGAAAACCCAAAAGCAGTTTCGTTATGATACCAGATACACAAGACCCTGAGTTCACTTGTATTTCAGTTTCTAGTTCTAATCGATAAAGTCGATAAGTAACAATCTCCTAGGATAGTATGACCTACATTACCCTTGCACTTCAATGATACACAGAAACCTGAAGTTGTATATTTGTCAATAATATTATATGACAGATTTCGCAGTATTTACAAATGTGTCACGTAAAAGTACTATACACCGGCGGTGGCGGATCCAGACCTCTTTATGAGGTGGAGTCCCCTCAATTTTTTTCGGCCCACTGCGGCCCACCCCCTGCTCCTTGGGTCCCTCTCCTAAATCCTCCTCTAACTAGTAGAGGTTTCACATACTGATTAATGGTGATGTCCATAGCAACGCCTGGTTTCCATGGTTACAGTCAAAGAGGTGCTCGCAAAATGTAGTTAACGAACACTCTGGTTACTGGTAACCATGTAACCTTGACATCAGTGTTTTTTTGCTCCGTGACGTTTCGTGCCATTTTGATTGAACCAAAAATTAACCTTTTACTTAGACGTGTCTTTGTTTTCTCCAGGCCGAGGACTTGTGAAAGAGCTTGCGTCCCAGGACTCTGCGTTCAGACATGATGAGAAGGAGACGGAGCATCGTACACCTCCTGACAGGTAAATATTTTTCTGTGACGCCTGACTTGCAGGTGGGTACATGCAGTGAACAAGACCTGGTCGAGCAAGTCATTGTTAAAGAGCTTGGCTAGACTTGTTGGCGTATATAACGTACTCCGTTATAACGTACTCCGTTATAACGTACTCCGTTATAACGTAGAAATAAGGCACATAACGATAATGTTCTTTGCTCTGTTTTGCTGTGTTTGTTCCAAATTTACGTGGATGTAATAAACAAATGCAGCCATTTCTTTACAAGAAAACTACGCAGACAGTCTTGGTTATCAGTATGAATGGTCCTTTTTGGTCAGTTCGTGTACTGTTAAACTTTGGGCAAAAGGTAAATGCTATGTAAGTTATAACATATCAAACATGAGAGACCGGTTAGGTCAAAAGTGTTTTGTTGTATAATCGGCCAGAGAGCCGATCTAGTCGTTTTTATCAGGGTTTCGTTGCACTCTACCAGGCCTGACAGGTGGATATATTAGCGTGTGATAGTCGACAGGTAGATAAATTAAAGTATAGTGCTTGAAATCGATATATTTTCGATTACAATCCATCACATACTTTCGCTCTCGATTGGTCCTAACGCGTCATGTGACTGGATATGCCCCAGTTGGGGAATTCTGTCTTCGAGTGATGCCCCCCAATTTTAGCTGTTGTTGAGAAGAATCTTTGAAGGATAATAAACACAACAGCATCCATTTGATTTTAATAATATGCTCGGATATTTGTCCTTGTCACAGTTTCTTGAGCTTCGTTCTCGGAAAACTGCTCACTGCAGATTATGTCTGCGGACAGATATCCGAGCATTTTTTCGCGCTAAATGGAAGCTAATGGAGGCTATCGTTTTTTTTTATAGAACAGTTCGGATTCTGCGTACGCCCTGATTTTCGAAAAGCTATGTTTAATCGGGGTATAAAGCAGAAAAAACATAGAAAAGGTCATCATTAAGCATATAAAGAAGTCATCTATAGTACTGTCTTAAAATGTTCTGTTTGTTTGAGGGCACTTTGAGAAATGTAGAAATTCATTTCTAGCGTGTTGTCAAACTGCTGTCGGTGTATGTGGGCCAGGGCTTGTCTATTTATAAATCAATACGTGATATGTAGATCGTTTGACGTGAAGATGGATAGTATTCAACTGAATATGGCAGACAGGGATTTATTTAACAATTATTCCACCAGCGCGCGTTGGATATGAGATGGTAGATAACCGATGAGTTGGCCATAATCATCTCATATCTGACAAACGCGAGTGGAATAATTGTTTTATTAGAAACGCTCCCAAAATATAGAAAACTAAACTAAACTAGGAATAAACACGCCCCAAAAAATCATGTGTACACTCAAGATATTTGTAGGGCGTGGTATAATGGCTCATAACCCATGATGGCTAAGCCAATGAAAACTCGAATTGCATGGTCCAGTGATTCAGGTTTTGAAAATTAAGTCTATCGCATGATTCGTAGACATTTGATATCACTTTTAATAAAGGACGCATAAATTTATTTCCGTTTGTCGCTAGACTTGTAGATATTTTCAAACAATTTACCAAGATGGATTTTTGTGTAACACCTGACATCTGGATGGAATAGATTTTAAAAATTTACAACGACTTATTTCTGTAAAACACCTTTGGCAATTGGGTTCATTGAAAATAGAAATCATAAAGTGTTTTGGTTTTCTTCCTTGACGGAAACAATAAGATGTTAATGACAGGACTGATTGTTTTTTGTTTTGACAAATCGGAATTCGTAAGCGGGAAACAAGTCTAAAGTGGCCAAAATCTCTCACGTATTCTTCCGAATCCCCATCCGCCCGTAACATAGTATTATTTTTGAAACCATCTATCACGTTTTATGTACGTCCGTCCACTCCTTTGTTTTAGTATTATTTCGCCTTGATAATATCTACTGAAATAGCGAAAATCTATTACGTCTGCATGTTCACGACCCCCCTTGTTTTTATTATTTGTCTGAAATTACCATATCCGTCATCTGGTTTTATTAACGAAGACATGTAATCAGGGTATGTCAAGTTCGCATGCGTGGGATTTGATCGCTTTGTGTCCAGTTCCCGTTTCATATTTTTGTCAAACTTCCTTATTGCTGAAAGCAGAAGAACACGACCCGGAAACATTTAGTCATGTTTAACTTTATCAAACCACGTACAAAGCAAACGTGATCACTTAACTCGTGCGGAAGTTTTGCCGTTGCCGTGACTAAGCGAGGTGAAACGGCCAAATGTATACGGTGTTAGTTTTCATGCCATCCTGTTTTTTTATTCGGGGCACATTCTCCTCGCGTTCTTTTTCTACTTCAGCACAATACACAGCACTTTACGCTGAGCCTTTAGAACAATGAAATGGAATACAGCATATCTGTCTTCCGCTCGCCGTCTTTGCGTAATTGAGTTGTTTTGCCGTGAAGTCCACTCGGTGTTTGCATACCGTGTTTCCTCGAATAATAGCCGAGGGGGCGATTATTCTATTTTTCGCCTAAAAGAGTGGCGATTACTCTAGGGGCGGTAATCATTCAGCGATTATTCAGCGATTATTCAAGGAAACACGGTACTTGTATTCAGTATCGCACCGAATGCAGTTTTTCTTGTCGTTTTGTTAATCTTTGTACATAGTTCACAGTTGATACTACAGTTTGATCAAGGTAGCAGTTTACCCACAAATCTCGCCTACCTAGCGCTGATTCGTAAATTCCACGCATGGGCAATGTGCAATATCCGTCCAGACTCCCCCGGCTGGCGGCACTTGAGTGCGGCGCTCATGATAGATAGGAAGCGGTTACACACTTGTGCCAAGTAAAATAAAACCACACTGAAAAGATAAACGCCGTTAGAGTCATGATGGGCATGGCATTTTTTTCGGTGACGAATGATGCGTGGAATCTTGTTTTTCGAGGCAAGGCCAATTAAAGGTCAAAGCTGCGGTAAGAGCATTGCGTTGAAATCGATACAATCAGATATCTTTGTGTGTGTCATGTGTGTGTGTACGTGTTTGTGCGAGGCAGTTTGGAGGGGGGCAAAATACTTTATCATCGTATATAGTAACACGTTTTCGCCTTAAACGTGTTTGTCGCCGTTTGATGGTCTGGGATAAATTTTTTATACAAACGATTTTCCAACTCCGTTTGAGCTATGTGCGTGGCAATAAATCTACTGATACTTGATAACCGAGTTTTTTAGACGAGTAGAAAAGGGCCAGAAGACACGCCCCTTCCCTTATTATCTAGTACGCTCCGCCTTTAGGACAGATTGATAGTTGATATCGATTGTCGAACAGCACGTCCCCCCCGTCTTCATTCTCAAGAACGAAATAAATGACTGTGTATTAGCTATTGCCGCAGATAAAACCTGAGATCGACTGTTTAAAATGAAGAGACATGAGCGTTAGCTCTCGAAATGTCTCTAAAATTTGATTCCAAGACCGCCAGAAGCAAGCTTCAGAGCACGAGCCGCGAGGGGCCTGGTGTTTAACAGGATTATTTCCAGGCCATTGACGTTGAGTGATGTTCTCATGGTTACAACCTCGAGTTTTTGCTAAGTTTCATAAGAAGACACGTGATTATCGCAACAAAAGAGCTTGTATTATTTCCATAATAAACCTGGCGGCTTCCTTTCGGAGAGGGAATATTTACAGGTGGTTTGTGGTTTACCATCAAGGACGTATTGTTTTTAAAAACAAGTGATGTATTTCTTGAGATCCGTTTGTATGCTTTGCGCCACTTTGCGTGACAATTTTTTTTGTATCGGAAGTACAATGTCCGCTCATGTGGGAAACATAGCACATCATTGCATGCAACTTAAGTAATATTACGTTTCATGATAAAATACACGTCTCACGCCAACAGGGCGCGTTTGTGCGTAGCCTGCCACGGTTGTATAAAGACAGCCTGGGGGAACTTTTCGCTATATTTTGTGGGAAATTAGTTTTAAAACTGCTGTGTGTCAAAAAAGTAAATTATACTTTGTACTCTTTCCTAATTCCTTGTTGTTTACAGACTTTTGTCTGAAAACAGACAACCGGAATCTGCAAGGATTTCACGCATGCAAATAAAGGACAAACAACGTGGCTTGATTCAGCATTTTTTGATTTGCGCATGCCCACATTGTGTATTTGCTTGTTTAGTTGGGGCTGGGTTCAAACAAAGATCAGCGATAATACTGCTGATGACATGTTGTGCAATACTGTGAAGGATACAGTATTTTAATTTACTGTGACCGGCAAAGCTTTCGTAATTATCTTGAGTTTATACAAGTGAAAAAATCGTGACAGACAATTGCGTTGGCGTTGTCAGCCTTGTTGACAAGAAACTCATTTGCGCCGTTGTTTCAGAGCTGAAACGCTTCCTTTTGAGAATTTGATCCGAATTTGCATATTCAAATTTCCTAAAATAAAGCGTAAACACGCCACAGATGATTCAAATTCTTGCCCTGTGTTAGTGGATATTGGGCAATGTCTGCACTGGGATCAAATGACGCCATTTGACAATAGCATATTCATTACAAATGGGATTTGTTTCAAATGCAATTTACTGTATCCGGTACTGAGGCACTGAACCATGGACGTCCGCATATTAATTTTGTGTTATTTTCCGGAAAGAAAGCTTATGTAAACTTACGCAAGGGCGGTGCGGTTTTGTTTTGTGTTCGTTCGTTTGCCTGGGGTTGGTAACCGTGGAAATGTTGACGTCACCAAACGACATTCTATACATTATTTACGTGCGTAAGTCCTTTTGTTTCGCGGAACACGTTGCAATAATACTTTCCTTATTTCTTTTCTGTGTTGCTTGTCATTACGCTAGGTGTTCAGTGTTCAGAATAGTTAGTAAATTTAGGATTTTGCCCTTTTTCGGCTGAGTTAGCTTCCCTGCCAAGCCTATCCTGTGTGTAGGGTGATATTTTCCTCGTGAAATCGCGAAGGAAGTGGTGTGTTGATCATGTGATCATCATGCTAAGTGAGTAGACACGAAAATGAATATTCAA